CTGGAGGCAGGATGACTCTGTTTCAGGAGTCACTACCTGGTTCGCCGTTTAGTCGCCTCGTACGACACGCTAGCACCACGTCAGTCCTATTCTCAATGCCGAGACTGCACGCCTAATGTGAAAAGATAAGATGAGATATATCTTTATTGTCCAGATCCTGGCACATTGGTTTGGTGTTTTCCACGTACACACGTACACACATACACACACGCGCGCACACACACACACACACACACACACTACACACACACACACACACACACACACACACACACACACACACACACACACACACACATACACACACTCACACACACACACACAAACATGCCCACGCATGCATATAAACAACAGACAATAGTAATGATAAGCTAGATACGTACTCAGTATTCTGATTGTAACTCAATGGATTCTCTAAGATCATATGAATATTTGGATTTCAGTTCTTAGGGTTTGAAGGATGTGGGGAAGTATCAACTTTTAATGATTTATTTCTTTCATGTGTGTGTGTGAAGGCATAAATCAGTTTATACCTTGCTGTTTTCAAATTTGTTCTCAAATTGTTGTTCTGCTGGTGGGATGGACCAAACAAACAAAAGATAGTCACACATCTGCAGATCATGGTGTTCAGATAGATGGTGGCATCAGGGTATAAAAGACAAGGCTCACATGAGGACATATTATACCAAAATAGATTATTATGAGATTGAACATTTGAAAAAAAATCTTTCTGTCTGTTAGCTTTTCAATGTAAAGTGCTTATTTGGGCTGATAAACAACCCCCCAACCTTATTTGGGCTACCCTTCCTCGCGATGGTAATGGATCTCTTAATTGATGAGTTGAGTTCCGCTTTCCAAGTTCGGCATCTTCTTCATTTAGTTTAGTTTGATCTATGTGCTTGATGACAGAATACCACTACCAGTGTTTGTAACAATCACCATAATGAATAAAAGATTGGCAATCTCCAGTTTTGACCCTAAGAGTACTGGAATATCGATGGTAAGTTTTTATTGGTTAGGGGTAGAGTTAAGGGTAGTGAAGGTGTAGGGTTAGGATTGCAATAATAGATAGAGCTGGGGCCAAAACGAGATTAATGAAATACCGCGCACCACACATAGAATTTTATACCGAAAAATTGTCAGGCTTCTTTGTCAGCCTGCTGGCCACCCTCTAAAGTGCCCTTAAGGTCTTCTTTGATGTCTGGGGTGGAGATGTTCCATCAGTTAGGACCTGTAGAGAATCTGACCAAAAAATTCCCAGACAAAATTACCATTTCAGGTCAACTACTCCATTCACACCCCCTTAAATGTCACCAGGGTGCAGAATTCAGTAGATGACTCCCATGAGATGTCTGTGCTAGGATTTTCGTTCATGTATTGACATGGTCTGCATTCTCAAGACAAATCTTCATCTACGACTGTACCATTTTCCTTTTTGCGAAGCTGACATGGATGAGAGGATAGCAATGTGTTCATGATTCCTTGATTGTCTTAAAAAGCATGAACATTTCCTTGATGACATTTGATTCCTTGGAAAGGTCCATATTCACCTTTCAGGATATTAACTCCACAAATGCCATCTATTGGGCAATCCCGTCCCTAACCCTTATTGTCTCTAGAAACAATTCCATACTGTAACGTGTAAAGTGTGTGTAGCTTTGAGCACTCATGGTTCAATGGATCCTTGTGTTTGGCCACCACTGAAGATTATGAACGGCTTGTTAAAAAGTGTTGAGTCTAAAGTAGGACATATAGAGCACTGGTTCTCAGAACTCCAGAATTTAAAAAATATTTTTTTAACTCTGTAAGAGAAAAAAGATATTGTTTTAATGTTACAGGGATGGAAAAATTGAATTTTAAGAATAAAAGAAAGAGAAAAAACTAACGAATCATTACATGATTTTCCTTTAAAGATTTTTTTAAATTACTGTTTTTTGTGTTTATAGGTGGTTTTTATGAATGCCATTTCCGTTTGTGAAAAAAGTTTCTTCTTTATGAATGTTATGTCAAACAAATTCTTTTTGAATGAATTATTTCTGTCCCAAATTACAACATTCTCGAACAAATTTTGTGTGAGATTTTCCGTAAAAATGGATCATCCTGTATTTCAAGATTACAGACATTAAGTTGCAACCTTTATGCACCTATAAACAGGGTGACTGACAGGCCCGGGGAATCCCGGGTTCCCCAGGAATCCCCCGAGAATTTGAAAAAAATCGCTGAGACCTGGGAATGCCCTGGGAATTTGAGGAAATCTGTAAATTGCCCTGGGAAAAACCCAGGAAAATACATAAAAGCTCTCGAAGATTTGAAACCGAAATTCAATAACGTCCTTGGGTTCAATTTTGCCGGTCACAATTGTGATATTTATACGGCCTTTCCCGGTCTGAGAGTACGTTTCATGGGAACAGGCGGCAAGCGGAAGTGTAATTGTGATATCAAAGGTCGATCGGGAAAATCAAGATCCTTTTTCGCTTTTATTACCACCCAGAAATTTGCCGGTAGTAGTCTGATAATTCAACTTTTTTAACCTGCAGGTTTTGCATTACAGACGCTGTGTCCCGTAGAAATTAAATCAATATTTATAGTCCAGTGCTGTCACTTGTGAAAATAAAAAGAAAGAAAAAAAGTTATACAAGAGTCTTGTCGGGCTCGTCATCGTGACCCGTCAGTGAACCTGCGCGTTCGCGTTGTGAGTAGGCCTGCCGGCGATGGTTGGGGTCACCAAAGTTCATTCAAAGTCTGAGCTCCGCGAAGTATAGGACTCCGGATTGGGGTGGATTATTTTATTTTTTTTAAGATACACTCGTGGGAGGGAATATGGGGTTGAAGGCAACACCGGTTGACAAAAACTGAACTTGGAAGCAAATTTTTGTATTTAGAATTTTGGTTACTACGTGAGCTGTCCGCAAAGCGCGCGTTGATGCAGCCGGCCTTGTGTGGAATCGGGATCCGTCAAACTCATACCTTGCAAGCCGTGCTTTTTAACTAAAGGATTCGTGTTTTATTGGATGGTTGATAGTAAATTACATGTATTGTATATATATTTTAGCTTTCTATTCAAGATTCGCGGATTTTCAGTGTCACTGCATCTTGCCTTCCCATATTTCTTACAACTCTCACACTGAATGGGTCTACTTGAGCCTTTCAAGATATTACTATTACTCTGTAAAATTTCAACAATGAAAGTTCTTTAGTTAAAAACAATTAAAAAATGAAATTCGATTCATACAATCAATCAATCAATCATTCATTTACTCTTTTTGAGAGTGTCAGTGATAACTTCCATCATGCAGAGTACAGTCGAGGCCTGTGACAAACTGGCATGCTTCCCTTTTGAGTTAGAGCAATAATCTTTGTCTTTCATGTTTATTATATAAATCTAGTTCTTGACAGTCGATGTTCTGGTTCTAGGCCTTTTCTCAGGCTCAAACTCAAAACAAGATTCATTTTTATATAGTTTATGTAGGCGAATATAATGAGGGGAAAATGTAAATAAGAACAGACTGAAATACTTAAGTCACACAGTACCCTAGTGCCACACTGACATGTTGCTGACTGGATATAATGTACCTACATGTGTTTGTGTGTGCGGGTTTGTGTGTGTGTGTGTGTGTGTGTGTGTGTGTGTGTGTGTGTGTGTGTGTGTGTGTATACATGGAGTGTGCGCTGTCATTGTTATGTAACATGCCCCTGGAAAATGGATGAGCTCCTCTTGAAAATTGGGAAGCTTGGTTGGCAGTCACCCTGTATAATAATAAGAAATTCCTTACTTTTCTTAAAACGTTAAGTCTAGGTTTTGTAAGTTGACTGTATAACAGAGATGACTTCTCGTAATTGGGTTATAAGAATAATTTCTAATTATCCAGTGACACTGAATCAGCACCAGACTTTTCCAGCTTTTATTTTGGTTTCTAAGACCATTTGCAATAATTGACAATGTTCTGATTTCTTTACATTCATAAGTGTCCACCCATATTTCCGACACAAAAACTATGCATGAATGTGTTAACTGTCACTATTTTTATTCTATACAAGAAGTTTATCTCTACCCATGAATTTACACAGTTTTGTGTTTTCTTTAAAATGGCATAATATATCTTTCTTAGTTGTCTGCAGGCTGCCACAGACACAGCATGATTCATGAAAAAATGCAGAGTAACTGTCTCATGTTTAATGGTAAAACAAGAGCTGACGCTGAGTGTATTTTGTTAAAAAATACAAATGTGCATTTTTCTTCTCTTATAACTTGACTATTATTACCTGTGCTGATTTAAGATTTCTCATGGTAAAAGACATGATATTCATAGTCAGTTTAACACATTTTTTGGCGAGATCTGTTGTTTCATTTTTAAATAATCAATCAATTATTCATAAGCATGTAACTAAAATAGGACAGATTGGGTACTCTGCAATCACTTGTCCAGAACAAACTCCAAGGCACAGAAATTAACCTTTCTAACTCAGAATAAATCTCAAGACATTGAGCTTTTAGTACATCAGTGTATTGGTTTGCTGTGTGGGATGGGGAAGAAGTTATATCGTTTCAAACATTGACAAAAATGCAAATTTCTTTACCTACACCGGCAAAGTCACTTCAGGGCTCAGTAACCCTGTGACCCTAAGCCGTCAAGCTAACTTAAAGTAACAGAATCGGACGAAAAGTGACGCAGTAAAGAGAGAAGCCCGCAAGCTGCGCACATCCACAAGTGGAAGTAGAGCTTTTAGATGTTCAAAATGTGGCAAACTTTTCTGTGCCAGAATTAGTCTCATCGACCACAGCAGAAGCCACAAGTCATCTTATCCTTTGATTCTTCTAATTCTTCTATATTGCTACAGAAATATTCTCCTTTGCGGATGTATTGGTAATCATCAGACATTGATGGAAGAGCTAATATAATAATAATAATTATTTTTATTATTATTATTATTTATTATTATTATTTAAAAAAAATTATTATAGTTCAAAGTGTTTTCAAAGTTCCTGTTTCTCTTTACAGAGCTTGGGTCTTTGAGTCAGAGCCTGATCTACAGCTACAATGCAAAGGGGGTTGCTTTGCTGCAAAGAGCAGATTTACACTCATCTTAAGGTATTTAGTGTTAAATTTTGTGTTAAATTGGGTGCGTTGTTGAATCCTTTGCGTTGTCTTTGTGGTTGAATCATTACTCGAGGAGCTTTTTCTGGTTTCTGATCTTTTTTTTGTGGTAAGTCGGAGATTTAGATATCTTGAGATAAACTTTCATCATCTGTCAGATAGTTTCTTATGTACTGTTATAATTCATTACATCTCTCTGGTTGTTTCTTTTGCTACATCTCCTATGGTTGGTCCTACTTTGACTTGATAGATTGTTGCCCTGCAACTATGTCTTCGTGTTTCCTATCAAACATCTATAAATCCTTTGCTCTCCTCCCTCTTTTTCTTTGTGTTACTCTCCAGTAATATCTCTAATCTTCAGCTCGTATGCAACATATTTAAAACTCTTACTAAACTCTACATAAGTAAATCAACTAACTGTGTTGGATGTTCTGTTTCATTCAATCTTTATATTCATATCTCTGGGGATTTTTTTTTGGTGGTATATATGTATGTGTGTGTTTTATGGCACTCACAACTGTATAAGGTCATATGAGCATGCGGGACATATTAAACATTTTCAGTTGGGTGACCTTATTTAGGCTACATAGCTAAAACCCCCTCCATTTAGGCCACATATGGCCCAAATAAGCTAAACCCCCCTCCCTTACCTTATTTAGGCCACATCATATGGTAGATTTTTTTAACTAACCATGGATTCCGAAGGTCGAGATTCTACTGATCTTTTTATTTAGTGCAGGGGATTATTTCAAAATATAGGATGATACTAAATGAAAAGTGGACCAAGGGTAAGAGTTGTGTGTCTGTGTGTGTGTGTGTATGTGTGTGTGTGTATGTGTGAGTGTGTCTGTGTGTGTGTGTGTATGTGTGTGTGTGTATGTGTGAGTGTGTCTGTGTGTGTGTGTGAGTGTGTGTGTATGTGTTTGTTTTGTGTGTGGATGTGGTGAGAGAGAGATCTAGAGAGAGAGAGTAAATGTAATAGTGTGTTTGTATGTGTGTGTGTGTAATGTGTGAATGTTATTGTGTGCATGAGTGTCTAAATAACGTACGGTCCAAATGTACATTATTTTGTTGAGAATTTTACATAGAACTCAACTACAAAACACCTTTATACAAAGTCACAGAAATTTTTGTGCTTATTGAGGTACAGTACAGGGTGTCGGATGTGGCAGTGCGATTAACTGTGAGTTGTTTAGACCCATCAAAACTCGAGGCTTCGTGGCCGATCACAAAAGTCTACAGGGCTTATCGAGGCCGATTCGCCCTGCCGCGTGCACGTTCACTAAACTGCCTACTAGATAGAATCTACTACCAAAGATTTTCTACATGATCTTTGCTACTACTACTACTACATGTACTACTACGAGACAGTATGAGAGAGTGCCACTCAGGCAAAGATAGTGTAACTTTGACTCAGCCACGTTGTGTACACACTTTTTATACCCCAAATTTGACCCGGAAGTCCATTCGGAGGATTTGACATTTTCACTTGACCAAAGTGTGCCAAAATGGTAGCCTAGCTTTTGCCCCTCCATGAAGGAAAAATCTGGCCCTCATTCAAACCATTGGGATTGAGCAAAATTTTGCTAATTGTTCTTTGTTCTTACAACACTATGATTATGATTTACAAGATAAGTTGTACACTGAGACAAAACTGTACTAAATGAGACTTGTTAAAAGGGTAGTTTGAGCATGTGTGGCCTAAATAAGCTAAACCCCCCTCCCTTACCTTATTTAGGCCATATGTGGCCTAAATAAGCACTCCCTTTTCAGTTTGGTAGGAATTTTGAATTTTGCCCGCATGGCAGCCAAAGCCTACTCTTATCGATTTTAGAACCACAGAGGAACGTTTAACGTGTGCAACTTTCACACGAGTCCTCCAAGATTTTTTGCCCTTATCCGAGAAGGGTAGGTGTTAGATCTTACTTACCATAAGATCAGGGGTGTGACTGAAAGACAACAGCAAGAAGAAGCCAAGAAGTAGCATTAGAAAGGCTGCAGAAAGAGTCAGAAGCCCAGAGGAGGGGGCAAATGGGGGGGGGCAGTAAGAAAGAGTAGTTTTAAGAAAACAGCTATGAACATTTTCCATGAACAGACGGCATAAAAAGAGAAATGAAAGAGGAAAACAGTCCTGTCTCTTTCTGCTGCAACAGTATTCATGCGCACAGGGGTTCCCCAAAGTGGCAGTGAAATTCTCCTTTATTTGGTATGTTTAGTAGGAATTTTACATGAAAATATCTGTCCACTAACAGAAGTAAACAGTTTCAATTTTAGCGAAATTTATGTGCTTTGTATCATCAAAATAAATTGCAGAAAATATTGAAAATACCATAGTCTCCACATAAGAACCGGGTGCTTGGTATCAAGGAAAATCTGGGATCTTAGGCAAAAGGAATCTTAATCAACGCACTAAGGTGAGAACCCATGATGACTCATGATCAGGCCCACTATCAGTAAAATGATCCTCCCTTACTCTAAAATGAACTGACGTGACTCTTGGCAAGCAAAGAACGGGAAACCTTGATGACCATCCACAAGGGCACAAGGCATGCCTTATTTACTTGTCCAATTGGGAGTTTCAAGATCAACACCAATCCTATTGCTCCTCCCCTTTCCTCTTTACATGTCCAAAATTTATTGCTTTCCATCTCTGACCGAGTTCTCCCTCCTCTGTTATAACGCAATATAGTGTTGTGACTGCACCAAGTAAAATTAAAATTAAGTCTGTCCAGAAAATCCATGGGTAGAGACAACCTACTGCAACAGTCAGGAAAACAAAAGCGCCAAAGAGTTCACAGTTCGGTGTGATCCCGTCTGATGCGAACTTGTAGACCATACCCACCCGGCTTGTGATGTAAGTTCAGGTGGAGAGCTCGGATGGTAGTGCTATGTTGGGGAAAACAAACATGTTGAAGAGTTCACACCTTGTCTTAATCCTGTCTGGTACAAACATTAGAGATTTACAACAGAGATGTGATTACATTCACAAGAGTGGCTGATCTGTGACGCAACGGGCATTAAAATAATGGTATATTTTTACAGCTTGGTTGATCAGCTGTGCCTGCATGGGTTTTTGTTCAGTGAATTGGTCGCTTTTAAGGACAAGCGGGCTAACCCAGATTTCGGGGGTTTCCAGAAATCGTGACCTACACCAAAAGTGGGCATTGCCCTGCCCATAAGAGAAGTTTGGTTTCATTGGTGTCTATATTTGTTTGGTTATAGATAAAACTCTCCTTGACTTTTAAAGAAATTGAACAAGGGGCAAAAACTTTACCTTTGATTTTCTCAAGACAGCATTTCTCGGGATAGCCCCCTTGTGCTTAAAAGCGACCAATTATGATCTGAAATGTAGGATCTTAAGGGTGACTTTTGTGGAGTAAAAATTCTGTTTTCTTAAAGCTGCGGGATATAAAGTGAACCGGGATTGTAAACGGTAAGATCTCGGGCAGAAACTACTGCAGTATGTCAGCCATATCCTCTTAAATTAAGATTTAGAAATTTTACGTCTTTTTATACTTCAACTGATTAGTGATTGAAATGAAGTTCTAGGTTTTTTTAAAGAATCCGTCATAGTCTTTGTTCTTTGTTGCTGATCGTTACATCTTCATGAAATTGTTTTATTCTCTGTTTTATTACAGACTGCTTGGTCACCATGTACCCATAAGAAAACAGGGAATTAGAGCTGGCGTGATTTTAGAGAATGACTGCAGCAGTTCTTTAGAGGTAAATATAGTCCAAATCGAAATATGGCAGGGATGCCATTCCTTTGATTTGTAAAGGCATGCTGTGTGCAAGGGGGCTGGGGTGGGGGAGGGGGGTGAGTTTGATAGTGGTGGAGGCCAGATGTAACGCCACCATGTGTGTGGATGGTAGGGTGTGTATGATGTTGTAGTGCTAACTCAGCAAATGCCTACCTTCATTACTCTTTTGCTCTCTTGGTATAGAACTTATACCCTAGTGAGTTGTCCAAGATTTTATCTCACCAACTCTCAAATACAGACTGTCACCTCTGTGTCCATTGAATATAACTTTGTCTAGATCCCATCGATTATTAACACTTTTCCCCCACACACCACACAGAACACAAGACCTTTGTCTCCATGTACCAGGAAGCAGATGGCGTACATTAATACTGTACTTGTATCTTGACAGAAAACACCTAGATCATTATGGGATTTTCAGCATATTAAGAAAATTGAATGTGACTATCACATGTTCATCAAACAGAAATCCGAATCGGAGCTAAAAATATTAGATCTAGCACATTCATCACCTGAATCTAATCATGGTGACACCGCAAAGCAGCATTCATGTTAGATCTACCCCGGTCGTTCAAAAAGTTTTGCCTCCAAGTGCATCATTTCTTTATTACTTTTGTATTACTACATACAAAAGTTATACACCAAATGAAAGCTTAGGATGTCTGCTACGTGACGGTACCTTTACTTTTCAACATAGTCGCCTTCTTTGTTGATGCAGATCCGCCAACGGCGAATAAGTTGTTGCATGCCGTCGGCGAAAAATTCCTGGGTTTTTTTCCTCTGAACCAGCGACGCACATCTTCTTGAACTTCATTGTCATCTGCATAACGTTTTCCTTTGAGGTACTCCTTCAACTAAGGAAAAAGATAAAAGTCAGATGGAACAAGGTCTGGACTGTATGATGAGTGCGGTAAGGTCTCTTGAAATCTGAGACTTTTCATGGCATCTTGCATTTGTCGACTCATGTGTGGAGGGGCGTTGTCATGTTGCAAAATTGCATTTTTTCCGGGCCGAACTCGTGACAGCCATGCTCTACGTTTTTTTAGGGTCTCAATCTATCGTTCAGAGTTGATAGTGGATCCTTGTTCCAAAAATTCCATATGAATCAGACCATCGCAGTCCCAAAACACTGTCATAGTCATAAGAACTTTCTTTGCAGATGAAACAACTTTGAACTTCTTGGGGCTAGGTGAGCCAGTGTGCCTGTATTCTTTCGATTGTCTTTTGTTCTCTGGGTCGTAATGGTGTACCCAAGTCTCTTCTCAATAATAATAATAATAATAATAATAATAATAATAATAATAAATCACACTTTTATTTGTCCCAGAAGGGCACTTTGTTTTACAATGGCAAACACACATACATAAATACATAATTATAATGTGACTATAAGGCGTAAGAAAGCTTCAACTTACCCCCAGTGGGTCGGGGGGATATAAATAGACCCACTGCTTCACCAACAGGAGGTGCAACCCCTTCACTGGCGATTTGTCACCCATAGACATCTACGCTCAGGTGCACATGGACGACACTTGCTTTGGTGTATCGTCTGTCTTCTATCATCTTTCTTCCTTCTTCTTTCATCCTTCCCCGAGCTGAGCGGGGAATAAAATAAAAATAGTTGGCTGTCCCATCAACAGGGGGTGTAACCCCCCCGTTGGTGGGATGCCACTCGTATGTCACTAGCTCTGTGATGTAGGGGTGGCATCTTTTGTCCGTACCTGATATGTCTTCTGTCCATCTATCTTTCTTTCCGATCTGTCGACCGCCCCAAATCCCCGCAACGCGAGGCACCCAGTTGACCGTGGGGTGCGACCCGTACGACCGGAGAAGGGGACCCTGGTGGCTCAGGTGTGGCTTCCCTCACCAACACGCCACTTTGGCCCTGGATTCGGTCTAGACGGACGGGTGCAGCGGCCTACTGCACTCACTTTTTGGCCAATCTTGGTTAGAAGGCAAGATTTCTTGCTGTCTGATTGGGAGTATACCTCCAGGGTAGCCCTGACACCAGCTATGGAATTCCAAGTGGTGTCCCCTTGTTGGACTCGGTGGCGGGTGGGGAGCCCTGGAGATGAATAAAAAACAAAATATACATGGATTCAATCCAAAACATTTCTCCCACCCCAATTCCCAACAAGTCCCAGACTGGAGAAGCAGGTGCAACTCCTGGCCTGGGCAAGAGAAAGAAGGGCCTTTCGGGCTCAGCATCTGGGACTTGCCAAAAAGAACATCATTGGGGTGGTCACCATTTCTGGTGATCTCCCCAAAAGATGAAAATCAAAACATAAATCTCACAACACTAAGCGTTTTCAAGATACACAAGTCACTTAAAGATTTCGGTATACACAAACCAAAATACATAAAAAAACTAGGATCCACGGACCTCCTGATACAGGTCAGTTCCAGTATAGAATCAGGCAAACTGTTGGCCTGCACCTCGTTTGGTGGCATCCCTGTATGTGTTCAGCCTCACAGAAGTCTGAACACATCCAAGGGTGTCATCAAAAGCCGAGAGCTCTGCGGCTGTACGGAAGAAGAGATGGTTCATGAGGTCGATGGAATTGTCCATGCTCGTCGTTTCAAAATACGGTGGGATGGCAAGGAAATCTGTACCAACACGTGGATCCTTACCTTCAACACACCCACACCACCAACAAAATTAGACTTCCCATACCTAGAACTCGAAGTAAGACCATATACACCGAAACCGATGCGCTGTTTCAACTGTCAGCGCTTTGGACACACACAGCTGCGCTGTCGTCGTGGTGCAGCGTGTCCTCGCTGCGGCAAGGAAGGACACTCTGGGGAGACCTGCTCTGCAGATCCCTGGTGTCCAAATTGTCGACAGGGGGGTCACACTGCATCTTCGACGGAGTGTCCGAAGTGGTGTCAGGAGAAAGCCATCCTCACACATAGGGCCCAGTACGGCGGAACGTTCGCTCAAGCAAGAGCAACGCTGTACCCAAAAGGATCGACGCCGAAGAATACAACAAAAACATATTTAGAAGTTCTGAAGACAGTCCCAGGGTCGGTAAACCCAACTCGAAAGGTCCTTCAGACACATAGAAGGCAGAACACCTGCAAAATACTACACTCCAATCTGGAGGCGGAGGAGGACATGGAGTCCTCTTCCTCCCCTCCTACCTCTCCCACTCTCCATCCGCCATCTGCCCACACCCCCTCTTCATCACCACCCTCTCAGCCATCTTCATTTTCACCCCCCCTCATCATCCTCACCCTCATCATTCTCATCATCACTCCCATCATCATCTTCACCCACAACATCCTCACCATCATCATCATCATCGTCACACAAATCACCACATCCTACACCCTCATTGCTTCAACCTCCATTTCCTTCACCTCGCCCACATCAACCTCCATCCCATCATCCTTCATCCAATAAAGCCCCTCCACCCACTCCCTGCTCCGGACCCCCTCCTCTACCCGCATCCAGGACCCCGGTCCTCCCACCCCTCCACACTCTCCTTCAAAAAAAGCTGCGGTCCACCGTGACTGCAGCAAAACAAAACAAAGACAACGGTCACCAACGACCAAAAAGAAATGTACTGAACCCATGCTCTCAAAATAAATAAAAATTGCAGTTCTTCTGTGGAACATTCACGGTTTGTGTGCAAACCAGGCAGAACTCTCATATCTTTTGACCTCACACACCCCAAATGTAATCTGTCTACAAGAAAATAAATTGCAGACACCCACATTCACATTAAAAAACTATCAAACTTACAACCAAATATACACCGACAACCAAATCGCCTCTGGGGGCAACTCCATTTTAATAAATAACCAAATACTGCACAGACAAATACATCTTAACACAACACTTCAGGCAGTTGCGGTCAGGGTCACCCTACACCATCCTATAACTATCTGTTCAATATACATCCCTCCAAATTATCCTCTATCTTCAAGAGAACTAATAAACCTCAGAGAACAGCTCCCACAACCCTTCATCATGTTGGGAGATTTTAATGCCCATAGCCCTATTTGGGGAAATGAACCAACTGATACTAAAGATAAAATCATAGAAGATTTCTTACCAAAAAACCAATACTAGTATTTTTAACGACAATTCCCCAACTTTTCAAAATTCAAATAAACTAAACTTTTCATCCATAGATTTAACCCTATGTGATCCAGAACTAATTCCAGACTTTCAGTGGTCGGTCCTGGATGACCCACAGGGATCGAACCACTTCCTCATCGACCTAATTCCAGACATTCCACACCGAACTCCTATCCCGGACCATTTCAATCTTAAAAGAGCGGACTGGGATGGGTTTCACGTGGAATGTCTGGAGAAACTCAATCTATCTTAAACACAAACACAAACTTCTGATCGATTTCATGAAACCCTTTTCGAAATCTTTCAAAAACATTTACCAAAATTATCCACCAAACCTTGAAAAAATAAATGTTGGTTCACCGAAGACTGACAAAAAGCTGTTGCTGCCAAAAAATCAGCTCTCAGGAAGTTCGTCAACTCTAAAACAAACGAAGACCTCACTAGTTTCAAAATTGCGCGAGCCCAAGCACGCAGAATAATCAGAACGGCCAAAAAAACATCTTTTCAAAAATATGTCTCTAAAATAAACAACAACACACCAATGCACAAAGTCTGGAAGATGATAAAGAAATTAAAAGGTACTAAAAAAGACACAATCGAACACATCCTAAAACCAAATAACTCTTTCGTAGAGACTGAAAACACAGTAGCTGACTGTATAGCATCACCCCTGTCCGGAAATTCCACTACCCAAAATTACAACCCTGAATTTAAAAAAGTGAAAATGTCTTCTGAAAAGACAACTGTTGATTCTACCTCTTCAAATGAAGAAAACTATAATTAACTAAAATGTAATATTGCAGAACTATCAAACACAGCTCCAGGCCCTGATCAAATACAGAACGAAATCATCAAACATCTCCCAGACGAAACAC